ATGGTTGCATAAGTGTGCACACCCTTAAACTAATACTTTGTTGAAGCACCGTTTGATTTTATTACAGCACTCAGTCTTTTTGGGTATGAGTCTATCAGCATGGCACATCTTGACTTGGCGATACTTGCCCACTCTTCCTCACAAAAACATTCCAAATCTGTCAGATTGCGAGGGCATCTCCTTTGCACAGCCCTCTTCAGATGACCCCACAGATCTTTGATCAGATTCAGGTCTGGGCTCTGGCTGGGCCATTCCAAAACTTTCATCTTCTTCCGGTGAAGCCATTCCTTTGTTGATTTGGATGTATGCTTTGGGTCGTTGTCATGCTAAAAGATGAAGTTCCTCTTCATGTTCAGATTTCTAGCAGAAGCCTGATGGTTTTGCGCCAATATTGACTGGTATTTGGAACTGTTCATAATTCACACTACCTTGACTAAGGCCCCAGTTCCAGCTGAAGAAAAACAGCCCCAAAGCATGATGCTGCCACCATCATGCTTCACTGTGGGTATGGTGTTCTTTTGGTAATGTGCAGTGTTGTTTTTGGGCCAAACATATCTTTTGGAATTATGGCCAAAAAGTCCAACCTTGGTTTCATCAGACCAGAACACATTTTCCCACATGCTTTTGGGAGACTACAGATGTGTTTTTGCAAAATTTGGATGTTTTTCTTCGTAAGAAAAGGCTTCTGTCTTGCCACTCTACCCCATAGCTCAGACATATGAAGAATACGGGAGATTGTTGTCACATGTACCACACAGCCAGTACTTTCCAGATATTCCTGCTGTTCATTTAATGTTGCTGTAAGCCTCTTGGCAGCCTCTCAGACCACTTTTCTTCTTGTCTTTTCATCAATTTTGGAGAGACGTCCAGTTCTTGGTAATGTTACTGTTGCGCCATATTTTCTCCACTTGATGATGAACGTCTTCACTGTGTTCTATGGTATATCTAATGCCTTGGAAATTCTTTTGTACCTTCTCCTGACTGATACCTTTTAACAATGAAATCCCTCTGATGCTTTGGAAGCTCTCTGCGGACCATGGCTTTTGCTGTAGGATGCGACTAAGACAATGTCAGGAAAGACCTACTAGAACAGCTGAACTTTATTTGTGGTTAATCAGAAGCACTTTAAATTATGGCAGGTGTGTACTGACTCCTATTTAACATGAATTTGAATGTGATCGCTTAATTCTGAACACAGCTACATCCCTAGTTATAAGAGGGTGTGCACACTTATACAAACACAGTATTTTAGTCTCCCCCCCTAAAAGATTTCAGTTTGTTTTTGAGTTGTACAGTTTATAGGTCACATTAAAGGTGGAAAAAGTTCTGAAGTGATTTAACTTTGTCTCATTTTTGTACATCACAGAAACCTGAAATGTTAACAGGGGTGTGTAGACTTTTTATATCCACTGTGTGTATATATATTGTGAGGGATTAGCCCAATAGCGGGTTGTGCTTGACCCCCTGGATGAGTCAGAGCACGGTTAAAGAGGCTCAGCACAACAGCAGGATCTTGGTGAATAAAGTGGTGGTTTATTTACAAGTCTGGTGAACACATGGTGCATATATTCAAAACAGCGAAAATAAAGCCTTGCCGCACTGGGCATCTAACTACAAACACAGGTTCCTATCTACCCATCTGGAGACAGCCTATCGCTGCTCAGACACAGGGTATTTACACAGAGCATCTCCCAGATCAAAATCACACAGATTTTCTCTCACCACAATATTGTTTGGTTGCTCCCCAGTCTGTCCTGCACAGCAAACTGGTTCCAGGTTGGAGCATTCTCTCTAAGCAGCCTTGGAGTTTCATAGAGCCCAGAGCCCTTAACTCACTACAGCTGAGCTAATGAAATAATCAGTGAGCCAAACAAGCTCACTACACAGCACAGCAGGAGAAACAGTCTGTGTAGAGCATGAACCTGGGACAAATATACCTCCCAACCTGGACACATCCCTTATTTTTTTTTTTCTGACCTCCTGTCACAATATATATATGTGTGTGTGTGTATATATATATATATATATATTCCTTGTATTCACCCACCTATGCACTCCCTGTAACCTTACACCCCTTTTCCTCTCTCTGATCACAACTTTATCAGCTTCACACTCTCCCTGCCTCCTACCTCCCATGCCTCCAACCAGCAAACCGTTACCTGTAGAAACCTCCATCAGCTCAGCCCTGACCTTCTTCACTCCACTACTCTATGATGAAATTGCACCCCTGTCCTGCCCAGAGCTGGCCACATCTGCCTACAACAACTATCTATCATCCTCCCTGGACGCTCTTGCTCCTCTTTCTACACGCAGAACCAGGCCTCGCCTGTCTCAACCCTGGCAAACAGATGACACCAGAAGTCTCAAGAGTCTCTTGAGCGAGCATGGCATAAAAGTAAATCTCTAAAAGACTTTACCCTCTACAAATCCACTCTTCTCAAATACAACTCCAGCCACCACGCTGCTAAGCAAACCTACTATAACACTCTCATCAAGACCCTCTCATCCAATCCTCGTCAACTCTTCTCTACCATTAATTCCTTACTCCACCCCCCCACCGCCTCCACCCACCAACTTACTTACTGCACAGGAGATTGCCAGTCACTTCCAGAAGATCGACACAATTCGTGATGAGATCTCCAGTGGCAAGCTTCCTCTTCTAACCAATATACCAGCCCCAACACCAAACTCAACACTCTCCTCCTTCGACCCTGTTACCACCAAGGAAGTTACCGAACACCTTTCCAAGGCCCACTTCATCACCTGTCCCCTGGATCCTGTCCCCTCACGACTGTTACAGCCTCCTTCCTGCTCTATCCTAAACTCTCTAACCCACATCTTCAACCTCTCACTCTCCATGGGCACCTTTCCCTCCACACTCAAACATGCACTGGTTACCCCCATTCTCAAAAAACCCTTGCTGGACCCCACCTGTTTGAATACCTTAAGACCCATCTCCCTGCTCCCGTTTGCCTCCAAGCTTCTCGGGCGCCTTGTTCACAACCGTATGAACTGCTACCTCACTGACAACAACCTTCTTGATACCTGACAGTCTGGCTTCCGCCCACAATATTCCACAGAAACTGCCCTACTAAAACTCACTAATGACCTACTAACTGCTAAAACCAACGGCCATTACTCCATACTCATACTCCTTGACCTTTCCGCTGCCTTTGACACAGTCGACCACCCGCTCCTCCTCAGTAAACTCCACTCCATCGGCCTCTGTGACTCTGCTCTCTCCTGGTTCTCCTCTTACCTTTCTCAGTGCACTTTCAGTGTCACATACAACTCCTCCTCCTCCGCTCCTCTTCCTCTTTTTGTTGGGGTACCCCAAGGTTCTGTTCTTGGGCCCCTCCTTTTCTCTCTCTATACCTCCTCCCTGGGCCAACTGATAACCTCCCATGGCTTCCAATACCACCTCTGCTGATGACACCCAGATCTATCTCTCCACTCCCCAGCTCACCCCCTCAATCTCCTTACGTATCACAAATCTACTATGCAACATATCAGTATGGATGTCACCTTAAACTCAATCTTTCAAAAACTGAGCTTGTAATATTTCCTCCTCCACGGGTCCCCCACTCACAACTTTACCATAAAGATCAACAGCACAACCATTGGTCCTTCCCCTCATGCCAGGGTGCTAGGCAAAATCCTAGACTCTGATCTCTCCTTCGGGCCCCACATCCACTCACTGGCTATATCCTGCCGCCTCAACCTCCAGAACATTTCCAAAATCCGCCCCTTCCTGACCAATGACACCACAAAACAACTTATCCACGCCTTGGTTATATCCCGCCTCGATTACTGCAACTCCCTCCTCACTGGTCTACCCATACAAAGGCTATCCCCCCTTCAGTCTATTATGAATGCTGCTGCTAGGCTCATACACCTTACAAACCGATCAGCGACTGCTGCCCCTCTCTGCCAATCCCTTCACTGGCTTCCACTAACCCAACATATAAAATTCAAAATACTAACCACAGCTTACAAAGCCATCCACAACACTGCCCCTAGCTACATCACCAACCTCATCCACAGATACCGGCCAAATCGCCCACTCCACTCCTCCCATGATATCTTCCTCTCTAGCTCCCTCATCACCTCCTCCCACGCTCGCCTCCAGGACTTCTCCAGAGCCTCTCCCATCCTCTAGAACTGCCAACCACAGCATGTCCGGTCAGCCCCCACCCTGTTTGCCTTTAGGCCAGTGGTTCTCAACCTTTCTAATGCCGCGACCCCTTAATACAGTTCCTCATGTTGTGGTGACCCCCAACCATAAAATTATTTTCGTTGCTACTTCATAACTGTAATTTTGCAGTGGGAGGACTAGTGCCACATCATTGGTGTCAGTGGAAGGAGTAGTGCCCCATCACTGATGTCAGTGGGATGAATAGTGCCCCATCGTTGGTGTCAGTGGGGGGAATAGTGCCCCATCGTTGGTGTCAGTGGGGGGAATAGTGCCCCATCGTTGGTGTCAGTGGGGGGAATAGTGCCCCATCGTTGGTGTCAGTGGGGGGAATAGTGCCCCATCGTTGGTGTCAGTGGGGGGAATAGTGCCCCATCGTTGGTGTCAGTGGGGGGAAATAGTGTTGGTGTCAGTGGGGGGGAATAGTGCCCATCGTTGGTGTCAGTGGGGGGGAATAGTGCCCCATCGTTGGTGTCAGTGGGGGGAATAGAGCCCCAACGTTGGTGTCAGTGGGGGGAATAGAGCCCCAACGTTAGTGTCAGTGGGGGGAATAGTGCCCCATCGTTGGTGTCAGTGGGGGAATAGTGCCCCATCGTTGGTGTCAGTGGGGGAATAGTGCCCCATCGTTGGTGTCAGTGGGGGGAATAGTGCCCCATCGTTGGTGTCAGTGGGAGGAATAGTGCCCCATCGTTGGTGTCAGTGGGAGGAATAGTGCCCCATCATTGGTGTCAGTGGGAGGAATAGTGCCCCATCATTGGTGTCAGTGGGGGGAATAGTGCCCCATCATTGGTGTCAGTGGGGGGAATAGTGCCCCATCATTGGTGTCAGGGGGGGGAATAGTGCCCCATCATTGGTGTCAGTGGGGGGAATAGTGCCCCATCATTGGTGTCAGTGGGGGAATAGTGCCCCATCATTGGTGTCAGTGGGAATAGTGCCCCATCATTGGTGTCAGTGGGAGGAATAGTGCCCCATCATTGGTGTCAGTGTGGTGGAGGGGGAAATAGTGCCCCATCTTTGGGGTCAGGGGGGGGAATAGTGCCCCATCGTTGGTGTCGGTGGGGGGAGGAGGAATAGTGCCCCATCATTGGTGTCGGTGGGGGGAATAGTGCCCCATCATTGGTGTCAGTGGGAGCAATAGTGCCCCATCATTGGTGTCAGTGGGAGGAATAGTGCCCCATCATTGATGTCAGTGTGGTGGAGGGGGAAATAGTGCCCCATCTTTGGGGTCAGGGGGGGGAATAGTGCCCCATCGTTGGTGTCGGTGGGGGGGAGGAATAGTGCCCCATTCTTGGTGTCGGTGGGGGGAGGAATAGTGCCCCATCGTTGGTGTCAGTGGGGGGGGAGGAATAGTGCCCCATCGTTGGTGTCAGTGGGGGGGAGGAATAGTGCCCCATCATTGGTGTCAGTGCGGGGGAGGAATAGTGCCCCATCATTGGTGTCAGTGCGGGGGGGGGGAGGAAATAGTGCCCCATCATTGGTGTCAGTGGGAGAAATAGTGCCCCATTGTTGGTATTAGTCACACAAATGATGGGGCACTATTCCTCCCACTGACACCAATGATACTTACCTTGCTGACCCCTGCTCCAGCCTGGGCTCGCTCTCTCACTTACCTGTCAGCTGTCTTCCTTCTCTGGCCGCTCTCCTCTTCACTTACTCCGGCAGTTCCCTCGATCTTCTTAGATCTACGCGCGCTGCCGCTCGGCTCCTCCTCTCCAAGCTCCACCTCCTCGCCAGTGATTGGCCGCCTGTGTGCCTCTCCTGAGCTACAGTTCCGGTGGCCAATCAGCGGCGAGGAGGCGGAGTTGTTGAGGGATCCCGAAGGTGTGGCCAGGTGACAGGGCAGCGTGTCATCCCGCCCACACATCGACTGAGTCAGAGGAGCGGTGTCTCGGTTCCTAAGACCATCGGAAATATGTGTTTTCCGATGGTCTTAGGCGACCCCTGGGAAATGGTCGTTCGACCCCCAGGTTGAGAACCGCTGCTTTAGGCGATCTTTGAAAACTCACTTCTTCAGGGAAGCCTACCCCACCTCCACCTAAGAACTGTACCCCACCTCCACCAGATCATCCCCCGCAGCTATCACCTTTTGAATCACCTCCCCCCTCCTTTAGATTGTAAGCTCCACGAGCAGGGCCCTCACTTTTCTTCTGTACTGAGATGTATTGTAATTGTACTTTCTCCCTTATATTGTAAAGCGCTGCGCAAACTGTTGGCGCTATATAAATCCTGTATAATAATAATAATATATATATATATATATATATATATATATATATATATATATATATATATATGATCAACTTCAAATGAATAAAAACTTTTATGATCAAAGAAAATGTTTTCCCTAAACTTCTACTATTTACCATACTTAAAAAATTATGCCCACCAGAATAACCACACAACCTTTGGCTACACTCAGTTTTGTTGCCACACACTTAGAATACAGTTAAGGTTTTTAGGGTTAGGTTAGAGCAGTGGTCTCCAAACTGTTGGCCAGGGGAGATGCAGCCATTTGTTTGCTTTTGTCTGGCCCTTAGAGCACTATTTAATCCTCTGATATCATTAATGGGGTATAATTACCCTCACTGACACCAATGAAGGGGCACAGTTGCTCTCTATGACATCAACGAAAGGAAACAATTCCTCACAATGACACCGACGATAGCGCACAATTCCTCCAATGACACCAAAGATGGCACATTGTTTTTTTCCCATTCACATTGGGACCTTTTCTACTCCCAAACTCCCAATGGCCACAGTTCGGTTCCCCTAAAGTCTGAAGGACAGTAAACTGGCTTTTGTTTAAAAAGTTTGGAGACTCCTGGGTTAGAAGATTAGTGCCCTAAGAAAGACCTATGTGATTTTAGAAAGCTGGTAGGTATGATATGAAGTATGAATTTTAATAACAGGTCCATGTAAACACTCACTGGAACATGTCTGCAGTCAAATCATGGTACTTCCTCCAAACTGAACTTATAAGTGTTTCATTTGTTTCTTTAAATGCCACAATCAACAGTACAGGAACACACCCCGATATGAAAATTGAACTTTACACACAGCCAGATATAATCCACTCAATCTCTTCTAGATGAAGGAGAAGAGCAGAGCAGATGTTCTGACACTCAGAATAACACCTTTTTTATTATGCAGCGCAGAAAGAATACAGGAAGAATGTTTTGTTTAAAGCCAAACTCTGGTTAAAACATCTTACAATATCAATACACTTCACGGTCTTATAATGTAGTGTGTAGAGTTATATCTGCTGATCATATAACATAAAACAACATAATCTAAATGTGTGACTTGTAACTATGTAACCAGAGGTGTTTTTGGGCCTGTGTGCAAGATCATAACTTGAGCCCTCCTGCACGAAAAAAAAAAAATTGTGACAAGCTGTGTGCACCGTGGAAAAAATTGGGCATGGTTTTTGGTAGATTTCAGTGGCTTTAGGTAGACACTGCTGGGTACAAGGTGTACAGTGTGCAGAGTTCAGGAATGTGCTATGTGTAGAGTACAGGGTTCAGGAGTACGCTGCATACAGAGTGCAGGGTTCAGAAGCATGCTGTGTACAGAGTGCAAGGTTCAGGAGTAAGCTGTGTACAGAAGGCAGAGCTCAGGAGTATGCTGCATACAGAGGGCAAAGTTTAGGATCTCACTGTGTACAGAGCACAGAGTTCAGGAGTGCACTGCATGCAGATGGCAGAGTTCCGGAGTGTGTTATGTACAGATGGCAGAGTTCCGGAGTGTGTTATGTACAGATGGCAGAGTTCCGGAGTGTGTTATGTACAGATGGCAGAGTTCAGGAGTGTGTTATGTACAGATGGCAGAGTTCCGGAGTGTGTTATGTACAGATGGCAGAGTTCCGGAGTGTGTTATGTACAGATGGCAGAGTTCAGGAGTGTGTTATGTACAGATGGCAGAGTTCAGGAGTGTGTTATGTACAGATGGCAGAGTTCCGGAGTGTGTTATGTACAGATGGCAGAGTTCAGGAGTGTGTTATGTACAGATGGCAGAGTTCAGGAGTGTGTTATGTACAGATGGCAGAGTTCAGGAGTGTGTTATGTACAGATGGCAGAGTTCCGGAGTGTGTTATGTACAGATGGCAGAGTTCCGGAGTGTGTTATGTACAGATGGCAGAGTTCAGGAGTACGCTGTGTACAGAATGCAGAGCTCAGAAGTATGTTGCATACAGAGGGCAGAGTTCAGGAAGGCTCTTTGTACAGAGGGCAGAGTTCAGCAGTGTGCTATGTACATAGTGCAGAGTTCAGGAATATGCTGTGTACAGAGTGCAGACTTTAGGAGTGCATTTTGTACAAACTGCAGAGTGCAGGAGTGTGCAATTCACATGCTACTTTACAAGAAAAAATGAGAGGAGAGCGCAAGCTGCTGTGACCAGACTAACATGGCTAGGTACATCCCCTGCTCCTTCCTCTGCTCCCAAAGAGAGGTACAAGGCAGGGTGGATTCTGTGTGAGCTGCCAGGAACATGGCACTGTTGTAAAAACATCATAGAGCTCCTGCCTTGAAACACAGGAACAGCAGGTGGTGGCACATTGCAGCTCAAAATAAGACCTGATACCAACAACATGGACACAGCACAGTGCACCTGCCCACAACTCCCAGGCAGAAACTCCCAGCGCAGGCAATGGCAGAAGGGCTTTAGTAGCAGGGTATGCAGCGCTGCTACCTCCACAATATGATAGATGACTACTGGTACGTGTGTGACACCTCTTCCCTCGGTGTCTGTGTGCCCTGCAAATCCATTATGATATGCCACTGTATGTAACAATGTAACAAATTAATTTCAAATATGAAGAAAAATACAACATGACTAACACTAGCTCTGATAGAGGTGAGAGGTACATAACCAGGGGGTAGGCAGGGCAATTGTCCTGCTATTAGAGGGTACAAAGGACATTGTACCCCCAGATAGACCTAATACTGGGGGCAGTAAGGATAATATACCTGCCTGACAGATCTGATACTGGGGGTGGTAAGGATAATGGACTCCCCCCCTGACAGATCTGATACTGGGGGGCGGTAAGGATAAAGGACCCCCCCTGACAGATCTGATACAGGGGGCAGTAAGGATAATGGACTCCCCCTGACAGATCTGACACTGGGGACGGTAAGGATAATGAACCCCCCTGACAGATCTAATACTGGGGACCATAAGGATAATGGACCCCCCCCCCTGACAGATCTGACACTGGGGACGGTAAGGATAATGGACCCCCCCGATAGATCTGACACTGGGGACGGTAAGGATAATGGACCCCCCCCCCCCGACAGATCTGACACTGGGGACAGTAAGGATAACGGACCCCCCTGACAGATCTGACACTGGGGACGGTAAGGATAACGGACCCCCCTGACAGATCTGACAGTGGGGACGGTAAGGATAACGGACCCCCCTGACAGATCTGACACTGGGGACGGTAAGGATAACGGACCCCCCCTGACAGATCTGATACTGGGGGCGGTAAGGATAATGGACCCCCCTGACAGATCTGACACTGGGGACGGTAAGGATAATGGACCCCCCCCCCCCCGACAGATCTGACACTGGGGACGGTAAGGATAATGGACCCCCCCGACAGATCTGACACTGGGGACGGTAAGGATAATGGACCCCCCTGACAGATCTGACACTGGGGACAGTAAGGATAATGGACCCCCCTGACAGATCTGATACTGGGGGCGGTAAGGATAATGACCCCCCCTGACAGATCTGATACTGGGGGCGGTAAGGACAATGGAACCCCCCCCCCCCCCTTGACAGGACCCCCTGACAGATCTGATGCTAGGGGCATGGGGAATAAGAACAATTGCTTTTTCATCCATGACTCTAGAAGGCAGTAAAGGTCAGTGGTCCTCTGACAAAGATGATATTGGGGGTCAACAAATCTAAACTTCCCCCCGGCCGACTCCCTCAGATGAGGTGTCATTAGCTGGAGTTATCATTGCACCAAGCCAGTACAGGAGGGAAAATAGTAACCACGCCCCCAGCCTATCTGGGCTCACAGAGGGTCACATGACACGGGCAACGTCCTATCTGTTCTACCTCTAGAGGCTCCTCTCCGCAGGTTCGGACGTCACCTCCCCGTGTCACGTGAGGAAGGGGGAGGGGCGTACAGGAGGCGTGAGGTGGAGGAAAAAGGCGGGAACGT